ACCTACCTGTCAGCAAACAACAGGCACCAGATTTCAAAATCTTTCAAAGCTGAAGGTAACTACCCAAGCACTAAGCTTCAAACTTTACCTAGTCTACAGATGAAAACCAAGCTACATGGGAGAAGAAGAATGTTCGTGATTTACATCATCCATTAAGGCAAACACATACAAAAAGGAAAACAGCGTGGTAAATCACGTAGCAATCTGCAAAAACAAATTTCAGTTAGGCCTAAGCGTGGAATCAGGCTGCTCAATCCATTCTCCTCCTTGAACCTTTCCTGCTGGTGTTTTCTTAATGCATCCTGGACTCTCCTGTTATCTATCATCTGTCTTTACTCCCACGCATGGTGATCCTGCTGTGCTGTGTTAACTCCAATACAGCATCACTCTTTGGATCATATTTAGCTGGATGAAATGGGGATTCATCTGTCCGTCTCCATCATTCTGTTAAAACTGGAGGTGGATGATTGCGCACTGAGAGCCTGATTTACCTTCAGCCCCTGCAGAGCGCAGAATGGAAGCTAGGGGAATGCTGAGAAAGACAATGTGCTAACAACCCATATTAGATACCCTGGGGAGGCCTCAACCGTGGGCACATGCTCCTGTATCTCGTTAGAGTAATTCTAGCACCACCTCAGCAGCATCTGGTTCTGGCATTGCTGGAGACATTATATAGGTGTAAACGTTGTGCTGATCTACACCAGAAGAGAAACTCCTGCATTCATCAAATACTGCCAGGAGACGAGAGCTGAAAGTTTCAACTGTCTTCTATTAGTAAGAGTACGGAGTGTCTAGTTACTTGTGTGCTTTTTTAGATTATGAACTTTTCAGTGTAGGCACAATCTCTCACTGCATACCACATGCTGCTCTCAGTGTCTTCAACATTGCAAGGGGAAGGACCTCATGCTTTTCTGTATCTTTGAGCTGTCACAGAGTCCTGCCGTGACCCTGCCAGCCTTACAGATGCCAGGGAATAGGCCCGAGTATGAGAACCCACCACACTTTTGTACATGACAGAAAGCCCATGCCAAGGACAAGCTAATTAAGCAGAAGATGTCCATAATCAATGGGTGTGAGGTCAGTCCTTCTCATTGCTTCATTAAATATCTTTTTTCTGTTTGGCACTGAACAGATTCTCGGTGCTTGGTTTCTGGGAATTATGGCACTGCAAATACCTTTATTCAATAGTAAATTTCACACTTTTTTCAAGCAAATAAGAATCTGAATGTGTATGGTATATTCAACAACCTCTAGCTAGGGATATAAAATGTTTCCTAAACACTAAGCAATCCACGCATTTATCATATAATGAAGCTGCAATACATTCAGTCTTAATGCCTACTATTAGAGGTCAATGGTAAAAATATGATACCTCTTTCACAGGAGATACGGTGGCAAGAATCCACCGACCCTATGAAAGAACAGTCACAGTTTTGCTGTTTCTCACCTGATGAGTCAGTACCAGGAGTAGAAACACATTCCAAAGCCATGAGCGCTACCTTTTTTCATTCCATACCCTAGATCTCATCACTCCCATTCTTTTCTCTCAATATCTAGCTCCCGTTCACATGTTAAATAGCAACTGCAAATGTTGAGAAAAAAATACCTACACATAGCTACCAAAATGGTAGGATATGAGCATGTCCCAGGTCACTAAAGTTGAAAAAGCCTTTGATGAATTAAAAGATGCAATATTAATAATATATAAATACAGAGAAAATACCAAGAAAACTTGGATCATATGCTGCATAGTAGGTTCTGCTGACCTTGGCCTCTTCAAAGTACTCTCAAAGTTCTTCAGAATATATTCAGTTGTATTACTCTTAAAAACTAAGGTTAGCACATACTACCTTAAGAGATAAATGATGACAAGAGGGTCCCCATAATTCAAATGCATGTGGCTGGTCTGAGGCACATATTAGGATTTTGCTACATTACATACATCGGTAGCGTTAAGATTTGGACGTTGAGGAGTTTCTCACTGATCTTTTGGAACATAATAAATATCAAACAATATTAAGAAGGTAGATTTGTCAGTCAAGGATTATAAGAACTGACAATGATTTGTGAGTAAAAGATAGCAGACTTTTTAAAATACAGCTCAACAGACTATCTGATTCAGGAAATCTGTATCTACTGAAACTCTCAGAAAAAGAGACATTATTTATCCTCAGATTTTTGGACTCAGTTTGATAACAAATGGGATGAAAGCCTTCACAGGATAAAGGATGTTTCTGAACTGCTAACACTGGTATTTTTTCCTTTTATCAGTCTGCGGTTAGCCTTCATAAACTTTTCAAAAAGTGGAGTATCAGAGTATCTCTATTCCTAAAAGTGAAATAAGAAATTACTACAAAAATGAATTTCAGATGGAATATTGACAATTATTAGCATGAAAACTTTTTAAAGCTCATGTCACTAAACACCGGGACTACTCTTTGTGAGTGAAAACATCACAGAAGGCTTTATTTTTAATCATCAAAAAAGCAAACAATTGCAATGAAATTACTATAGCTGACACTTTTTTTCAGCTGTGCTCACCTTAAGTATAAGACAAAATACATCTGCTGAAGGAAATTACTACACAGTCTCTCTCCTACTGGGATTCAGCTGGTTTTGTTACTTTCTTGATTAAGGAAAAAAAAAATCTTCCTCTAAATCTTTTCAAAGATATAGGTAATACTAGCCTCTGCACTCAGTGTTAAGCAGTAAAGGCCAAGGTTTACTCAACCGTGGCCAACTGATGTGCTGTTGGCTTGTAATCAGACACTAAAAAGAACAGATGGCTTAACCAAATGTAATTTGCTATTTTATTTATCCTTATGCTGCCCTTTTATCATACAAATATTAAACATTCATATTATACAGTTAGAAAAACAAGACAATGTTTAGAGGTAGATTATGAGCTAATGTGACAAATAACTATCAATGTTGAGATGCAAAATAAGTCACTTAAGTAGTATTCCAGGTCATTGTTTTTTCCTGACTTAGTCTGGGATGGAAACAGCAAAGACTGCCATCAGAAATTATAGTGTTCAGTAATACTTGCCAGCTCAGTAGTTGATGGCAGTAATGCTGTGTCAGTGATTGTTTGGACAAAAAAAACAAACCCATAGAACAAAAAACCCCGATCATCTCCAAATGCATGAGAAGAAAGAAATAATTTCTTAAAAGTAAACTCAGGCATTAAAATCTGGCAGTCTTCTATTTCCAAGATGCTTCTCAGTGCTCAACAGGGAATGATGACATCTGCAATTTGTTTGATTACTTCTTGTGATCATTTATTCATTGCAAGATCTGGGCTTGATCATCTCCACATTATTGTCTTAGCAGTGTTTGAGGGACCAGACCATACTATCTGATACCGTAGATCTCATCATCTTAAAATTAAAACTTCTGAAGACTTTGTGGTATTATTTTGGCACTCTGTCAGAATAACTCCTGCTGTCATCCTTCTTTGGAAACTTGACTCTAAGTAAAATTATTGCTGGGCACGAGCCCACAGTGCTACAAATTAGGTCATTAATTGTAAAGTAAGTTCAAACCCTATGATTTGGCAAAGACAGTTTTGGATAAATAGGCTCGGAGCAGTTTCGGAGTCTCCTTTTAGGAGCATATTTATCATGGGTCATATTGGTAAGCATAAGATGCTGCATTTTTGTTAGACTGATTTTAAAAATATATTTCTAGGTATTCTGTATATAAGGCTGCTGCAGCTTTACTGAGTTGACTCCAGAGAACCTCATAAAAAATTAGGTGTAGAGTCTGATGCCACATTCATTCTTCAAAATGGTCATCGACAATTCAAATTTCTGCATTTTGAAACTGCCACTATGTCTTTTAATCTGAGATAAATATATATTAATTTTATTGTAAATGTTCACATATCATATGATATGCGTACGTGTAGATTTATGCAAAATAGCAGACATGGATTCCAAGAATATCTTCAAGATTATCTGTCTCTGAACGCCTTCAATTTGTCTGGTCACTTAGGCATAACAGAAGACAGAACTGAGCTCACAGATTCCATTCTTTATCTATTTATGTACTGATTCATTAAGAAGATCTCTGCCTAAAACATCAGTCACCTCAGGACACAGCATCAACAGACAATTAACGTTACATTTAATGCCAAGTAGTCGTTAATGAAAACTAAACAGATGCAAGTCCAGTGACGCAAACACACTCTCGTTTCTCAGATAGTTTAGGCACAACATGAAAGGTAAAGCTAAGAATGCTCTTGTATGACTACATTTCATTTGATCTTCTTGGCCTACTTGTAATGCCCACAGTAGTGCCAACTTAAAAGACATTTACCTATGATCCTTTCATGAATAAATTAGAGAATATGCAAGAATCAATGCATGTATTATGTGCAGTATACATACAACTCTACTGCGAATTGAAATTTCTACACCCTCACTTCTTCAGACACCTGACTCATAAGTTTCAGTGAAGTGACTGAGCAAAGTCAGTACTTCTCTGTTGGAAAAAAAAAGATAATGGGTACATCCCAACGTGTTTACTCTTCGTCAGTCAGCCCCACATTATTCATGAAGAGGGACAATGCTGTCTGATTAAGACCAGTCACATTGCAACAACTGATACACATCTATGATTACATAAAGTAACAATAAAGTATTATAAAGTTAGTAATCCAGCAAGCAAATGATTGCAAAAAAAAAAAAAAAAAAATCAAAATGCACATACAACAAAAAAGAATACAGGAAATTAAATTCACTTTTTCTCATCAAGAGTTTATCCGGCTCAAGTAGCAAGCTTCTTTAGCCAGCCCTCCTTGAGACTTTCAGCTGTTTTCACAGGTGTGGAGTAAAACACACATTCTAAATAGTATGCAAATAGAACAAGGCCAAGGGAATAATTTATCAGTTGATCAGTGGGTTGTTCCAGTATATAACTGATAAAAAGCAGGACAAAACAGGTTATAAAAGCAGCACAGAAGAATTGAAAATCTGCATTTTTTTCTTTAAAAAAAAATGTGGGCATTCTTGGTTCTCATAGGTGCTGCAGGTGTTTCTGCTCACCTGCAGGATCTTGCCTTTGATGGGTAAGAATAGTCATCAAGTTTTATATTTGCACAATTTCTGCTGCATGAGCAAAAGCCTTTCAATTGACTTACCTGTTTCAAATCAAATCTTTTTCTTCCCTTTCAGGCAGAAGGTGTTTCGTGTGATTCCACAGAATGATGAGCAGGTGAAAATCATCCATTCCCTTGCCAGCTACATGCAGGTAAAGAACCTGAGGAAAGGGCTGTATTGCATTTGAAAGGAACATTTCTCCTTTTCTTGAACTAACATATATCTTAAAAAAAAAAAAGCTACTGAATTAAAGACCTAAGCTTGATTCCATTCAAGTCAGCTGGAGTGTTTCTTCAGAAAGAACAGGACAAAGTGATAAAGCTAGAGCTATAGAAATACATTCCAATACCTTCCTAGAAATTCTGGTTAACCCAGTCCGAATAGCAAAGTGCCCACCAGAATTTATTAATCGAACAAGTTAATCTGAAATGCTGTATTAAGTGTGGGGTGCTTTTAAGAATGTATTAGATAAAACATGGAAATTCCAACTACCAGAACTGTTACAATTATAGGTAAAACATTTTGCTCATTTAAACAATCTAAAAATCCATACTCCCAACAAATCAAACTTTTCTTTGGCCTCTAGTCTCTCATGTCATCTTTTCTTCTCTGACCTTCCTTTAAAGCTTCCCTTCCCTCCAACCAACCAAGCTGCGTGTTTCTTACTGACCTTGATGTAGATATATGATGACACAATGACATGAGAAAAAACAATAATGACAGCAAATGTTTTCAATATTTCTCTTCAGCTTTGATGTTGTAAAATAGCTATTTGTGATAAAGACACCATTATCTGTAGGATGAAAGGATGCTATTTTTAACGAAGTACAGATGTGGAGAACTAGCATCACCAGGCTAGGATAGCATGCTGGAACAGTATTCTGTAGAGAAATACACTGTTGGAACGGTGCTGCCAATATTAAGAAAGTTAATATACCATGTTTTCTTTTAAGTGTGTAGTATAAAGGGATTATTTGTTTCCTTTTTCTTTTAAGCAAAGAAAAGATCCCTGAACTACCATTGTTATGCAAAGGAATCAGTCAGGACTGATGCGGTATTATATCTTGGAATAGTCATCTCACTTGAAGACACATAGTTCAAAATATGCCCACCAGCCCCAATTTCCTTTACATTCATGAGATTAAAGGTTGAAAAGGCATTAGGCTGGCAAACCAGCTTTGCTTTCATTGGCCTTTGGTAAGGTGCTAAATCTAGAGGTCTGGAAGCCAACTTCACCAAAAATGCATGAAATAGCAATAGCACTGTTGTTTGCCCATGCTGAACTAAACATCTCCTGAAGGCACAGGTTCCTCATACCAACTTTAGTGAACTGAGTCTTAACAGCACTCATGCAGACAACAGTCTTTCCCAGCTGAATTATGTGAAGTATTCATGTAGCATTCCTCTGCTACTACAGTGTCCATTTCTGTCTAAAAGTTATAGGCAAAAACCTACAGTGAAATCTGTACAAAGAACGAAAGAAATTGTAAAGATAGTTATAATACTCACAAGTCTGTATGGACGCAAATGCTGTAGAATACTTGGCATTTGTGAAACTGTCACTGCCATCTCCAGAATTCTGCCATATAAATTGCAGGGCCTAATAAAATCTTCTTAACCAATCTCCAGTTAAAATTTAGGTCGATATTTCTGGCAAGAAAGGTTGGGTCAGGATAGCAATTAAATTTGGTATATTAATCACAATCATCATCACTATTGCACATACATCCACTATTGCCATACATCTGGCACATCCATTGCAGCTGCCAGAAAGAAGCAGCCATATGTATGTATTTATTTATGTATTCATTTGGCCTTCTTTCAGGTTGACTTTTGGAAGCCCGATTCTGTCACAGTGGTAAGGCCAAAAATGCAAGTTGATTTCCGAGTTGAAGCTGACAAGTCTTTTGAGGTTGAAGATCTTTTGAAAGAAGGTGGAGTGGAGTATAGGTAAGTTTGTTCTTACTGCTTGATTTTGAACAGAAGGAGATTAAATACTGGGGAAAATGTGTTTGTTCTTTTCCTATTGGTCAACTGACCCTCCTGTCACAAACTTCATCCCCCCTGCAGATGGCTCTGTGGGGTTCAGCTTTCCTACGGCAGTTCAAATGGGCTGTAGCTGCTCCGCATTAACGGGGTGAGGTGAAATGTTGATGGAGGTTAGAGACAGGAAGCAAAGACTTACTACCAGGAATGTCCCCAGGGTGAAAGTGCCCTGCAGTACACCGGGGTGGAGTATGAAGGGGACAAGAAAGGTTTCTCAGTAAAGGCAAATGCAGCAAAGATCTAAAAAGAGCCAGAAAGTGCAGCAGAAGGGTTTCCGTGATAGTATCAGGGAACTGAAGCCAGAAAATGGTGAGCCCCAAGGGCCACTATGAGGAGCTCCCCACTGAGTTCCCCAAGCTGAAGAATGATAGCTAGAGGGTCAAAAAAAACACAGCTGGTGACAAAGAGAAGACAGTTGCCAGGTGAAGGGCCAAGGGAGTGGGGAGAAGAGATTCTCATGACAGCCTTAGGCTTACTGAAGTCACACAGCAGCTCCATGGCAAGGATTTCTCCAAAGAGAGAGCTCTTAATTGGCTTAAATATTTTGTAAGTATACTACCAAGAAGTAAAAAACACCCTGGGTTTCCATGACTGAATACAACTGCAGCATAAGTGGAGGTAATAGGCCAAACTGCCACATTACACATCCCTGAGGACGGAAGCATCGTAGTGAGTAGCACTAATGGGAGGGTAAGGAGAAAAAACCAGGACCAGGCAACAGCTTGTACTTCATATCTTCCAGTCACTATGCAAGCACTAACTCAGGATGATAAGTTGAATTTGGGCTGGTGTGGAGCTGTCTGTCTTGACTGCTTCTTTAGCTCCACCTGAGCATTGCAAATTGGCTTGGCCCAGCTTGATTACCAGGCTTCTGCGATGTGTAATGGATATTGTGTTAACATCATATACTCAAACACTAAAAGTCAGTGTTACTTGACCAAGTTCTCACAACTTCATTTGTCTGAGTGGAGAGTTTTTGTCTCTCAGCCCCATTGCTGTTGCCACCAGACCAAACTCCTTCACTGGACACCACACAGTTCTCATGAAACATAACTTTTATGATCTGCTAAATCCTAGGATAATCCACCCCTAAACTTACTGGCCTCAAGTTAATCATGCCTGATTTGGATGCTGCTGAGGGAACAGAATCTAAACACATTCTAGAAGAAATAACTTTCGGTAATGCCACAGCCCACATACGGCACAGGAATCCAATTTCAGTCGAATTTCCTCTTTGGCAAAGAGGGATTTACTCTACATGTGTTAGTTTTTCCTATAATATTCATGAACTCCCTCAGGTCCATGAACAAATCTTTTGATTGCAAAAAAGGCCATAATGTCTGGAAGGTGTCCCTGACAATCTGAAGTGGAGCGTCCTTGTGACAACCCAAGCCGTTACAATTCTTTTGAAGTGCAGCTGCAGTGCCGTGACATCATGTCAGTGTAGTCACTTGCACTGTTCATTCTGAAGGCTGGTGGTGCCTCACAAACTGGCCTCTTGCTCTTCTATCCAAATCACAAATGATAAAGGACATCTCCTGGATGAGTAAGATTTGTAAGAATGTTAAGACAAGCACTGGAAAAACAAGAGGACTTGATTTTTTGATAGCCAAGGTTAAAATATAAGCAAAAGTTCCTCAAGAGTATACTCAGTGATGAGCTGTGCCTTTGTGTCAGTCCCGGGGAAAGACGAACAGGAGAGATCCAACCAATCCAGACAGGATGGTGGGGTTTTCTTGCCATTGTGTGTTCTACTTTAGTAGCCCACCTCACTTGAAGTAAAGTAGCTTGGAGGATGGATAATGCCACCCGCAACAGAGCTGTCAAACCACATGTAAACTTTGGAAGCCTGGTTTGACAGAGAATTTCATCAGGCAAACATCTCTGTGTTGCTGCATGGGAGTATTACCTTGCTGCTGTCTAACTGTCCTCCAGTGCCACAAGTTCAAGAGAGGGCCCTTTTCCTATTGAGACAAGGACAATCAGGCAACATGAGGTCAGCCCATAGCTCATTTTCCACACGCTGTCTCAGCATTACCATTCTTCCTAAAGCAAACTGTTGCAATCCTGGAGGTCTGTTAGTATGGGAGTAAGCAGGCGGGTGCTAATTAGGAGGAAGCTATTGCTCCCTGATTGTTCTGGTGGAGAGGTTGAGGCAGGAAGTAGGTTGAAACTTAAACCTAATATACCTTATTTTCAAATGCATAAATCAACCCCCCACACACACATTTCAAGAAGAGTGTGGCCAGCAGGTCGAGGGAGGTTCTCCTTCCCCTCTACACTGCCCTAGGGAGGCCCCATCTGGAGTACTCTGTCCAGTTCTGGGCTCCCCACTTCAAGAAAGATGAGGAGCTACTGGAGAGAGTCCAGCAGAGGGCTACGAGGATGCTGAGGGGCCTGGAGCATCTCTCCTACGAGGAAAGGCTGAGGGAGCTGGGCTTGTTTAGCCTGAAGAAGAGAAGGCTGAGAGGGGACCAAATAAATGCTTATAAATATCTCAAGGGTGGGTGTCAGGAGGATGGGGCCAAGCTCTTTTCAGTGGTGCCCAGTGACAGGACAAGGGGCAATGGGCACAAACTGAAGCACAGGAAGTTCCGTCTGAATATGAGGAAGAACTTCTTCCCTCTGAGGGTGACGGAGCCCTGGAACAGGCTGCCCAGAGAGGTTGTGAAGTCTCCTTCTCTGGAGATATTCAAGACCCGCCTGGACAAGGTCCTGTGCAGCCTGCTGTAGGTGACCCTGCTTCGGCAGGGGGGTTGGACTAGATGACCCACAGAGGTCCCTTCCAAACCCTACCATTCTGTGATTCTGTGATTCTGTGATTCATGAGGCCTTAGTTCCAGGAAGACCCTGAAATGTCTACCTGGTGCTTGTTTTTCCTGCTAGCAAACTGTGTTTCTCTTTACACTTTTCGTGGTGCCTTATTGCAGAGTTCTGATTGACAACGTGCAGGCTGCACTGGATGCCCAGCTTGACAGGAAAGCTCAAACCACCAGCCACAGCTATGAAAAGTACAATGACTGGGAAACGGTAAAGTCTGGAAGTTTGCCACTTTACCAGCACGATACCTTAGCCTCTGTAGTCAAAATGGTTTCTGATATGCTTCTTCCCTTTCCCTCTTCTGTTCCATCGACTAATATAACTCCTTCTCCAGACCCTCCTTCCTCTTCTCCTTTAATGCTCATTACTGAGTTAATCTGTATAACCCATCCACCTACACCTACTTCCTCTACTTCTGCTCCCAGTGCTGCAAAGAAACTCTGGCAGACATCCAATGACCAGCCTTGACAAGCTTCACTACTAATTTGCTCTTTCCTTTTCACTCCTTCTCCCATCTCCTCTGCTAAAAAGCTTGATTCCATTCCCTGCCCCAATTCTAGCTCTTCGTCTTCTACCATGAGCTCTCCCCTCCTCCTTTTTTCACAGCCATGCTCATTTTTCCTGACACGTAACCTCGACCATGTCACTCTTCACATCTTTGCAGCGGCTCCTTATCATCCATTGCATCACAGTTCTTATGCTTAAAAGTACAACAATCTTCCTTTCATGTCTTTCCTTCCAAAAATCTTTCATTTTTGTGCCAATCATTGCCCACTAAGCACCTGCTGGATTTTCAAACAAGAAAACTTGTATTTCTTCTCCAAGTGGTATCTATAGAACATATACAGAACTCCTTAAAGTTCTCCCAACCAGAACTCTCCTAAAAACACATTCTCCTTTTTCAAGGCTATTTAAAAATAAGAACAAAAACTCCTCTGACTCTGCAAAGGTTACTGGCGTGCAAGATACCCACCAGCATCCATAACGTCAGCCATTATTTCTTGTATTCCCTTGCCAGTTTGTCTAGATCTGTCTGCTGTGTCCTGTCTTTTTCTTAGTTCGTAAATAGCTCTTTGGGCATGAAATGCTTTTTTGTGTGGATGTGACAACTTTTTTGTGAGATTCTGAAGGCACCTGTAACAAAGCGAATCTGCTCCAATATTAAGATAATAAAGGCTGTTATTCCTTCCCTTAAATAATAAATAGAATGAAGGAGATTTTCTTTCTTTTGTATCTGACATTGGTGGACTGTTCCTACAAATCCCTGTCCAGCACTGCTGTCAGTAATTCAAGAATGATGATGAATAAAAGACCCATGAAACTGAAGAAACATTATAACATGTAGAATATTTAAGGCATTCCATCTACCTAGCTTAACAAGAAAAACAGTTTTCTTTTGTTAAGAGAGTTTAAGGGGTGAAAAACTCATAACTTTTTAGGGTCATAATTAAAAGGGTTTTGTAACCCCCCAGCCATACTCCAATGGCGGGTTTAGATAAATTCATACTAGAAAATCTTAATTCAGACATACAGCTGTAGTACAAGATTCTTGGAAATCTACAAACTGTACTAAATATTAGGTCAGGTTAGATGCTCAGAAGGACCATTCTGGCTTGAAGTCTGTGGATTAATTATTGTGGACCTGAGGACAGAGACATCAGAAAATTTAACCTCCTTATTAAACAGATAGCTGCTTGGACTGCTGACATCGCTGCTCAGAATCCTGACCTCATCTCTCGCAGTGTAATTGGGGAAACATACGAAGGACGGTCAATATACCTTCTCAAAGTAAGTGCTTTGAGTTCTTTGTGCTAGACCGTTTTCCTCTATTAACCTCCACAAGATTAAAACACCAATAATGCTAAGATAGTAATACACATTTTGCAGAAAATCTAGTACATTTTCTTCATTCTACTATGATTTTTTTCACCTCTTAAGATTTTTTTTAAAAGGCCCATAATGAATCACTAGAAGTTCACACACATAAATTTAACCACACTCCTGAGAGCTATCTGAATTATCACCTACCTTTATGTTTTCTCCATCTGTTGTTTGTAACAACATTTACTCTAAAAGGATCTATAAATGTCAGTCTCTCTAGCAACAGGCTACAAATTTGTTTGTATCTTCATCGTATATATTTTTTTGGCATTAACTCTTATGAATAAATAAGATACAATTACTTAAATACAGGTGAAAGGATGAAGATTACTTGCCCAAAATTGCATAAGCATTTACAATAATATATCATTCAAGCAAAGAAGATCGACTCTTAGAGACACTACAGGAAATAAATCAACAGCACACAATAATCAAATAATTGGGGGGAGGGGCGAGAAGCTTATGTACAATAATGAAAATGAAATTATTAAGAGGCTATTGTTTTAGCTTGAATATCATGGTCAGCTACAGCTAAGAGCGCTCCATAGATTTCCATTTAATCAAGGAATGCTATATTTGTATAAAGTTTGACTTTCTAGGTCAGCAAGCTGACCGACTTGTTCTGCATACAAATTATTTTGTTCAAGACCTGATTTTTTTGTTGTTTTTTTTTCCTAGTTGGGAAAAAGTGGTCAAAATAAGAAGGCCATCTTCATGGATTGTGGTTTCCATGCAAGAGAATGGATCTCTCCAGCTTTCTGCCAGTGGTTTGTGAAAGAAGTCAGTAAGCCTAAAGATGAAAAAATATTTTACAAAATGCAACTATGTTTAAGAAAATCTTAAGTAAGCAGCAAGAGCTGAGGCCACTGCAGATTGCGTTTTTACCTCTAAATACCTGTCTGCACATCCCTTCTCTCTCCTCAGATGGTTAGAGGGTAACTACTTAAACCAGATCTTAATGGTGGGACCTGTAATCTTTCAGCATGTGTAAGAGGTACTGACAACTACAAGGGTTACTTACATAATCTATAAATGCCTTTTTGCACCTGTAGTCAGAGTGAGGTGAGAGACAAGCAAACAGGTCTAGTCACACTACATTGTCATGTAAAGACAGTCATAAGGAGTAGGGAGTAAGGAAATTCAAGGGCACATCAGAAGGCACCTGAATGCACGTCAGAACAGCCGTCCTCCTGCAGTGTCAGGTGCTGTATTCCTTGCAAACCGCTTTACTTAGTAAGGCAACAGAGAGGGTGGAAGCCTACCCTCAGCTGAGCACAGAGTGCACTGAGGAAATATACCCAAGAGAGGAGGAAGACTATAGATGGAGCTCCCTAAACTCTGGTCAGGAAGAGGGAAATGCATATACATCCTCTGAGCTGCCACTTCAGGTTGTACAGAATGGTTGCTAAAACAAGAAAGCATATTCAGGAAAGAGCTGCACAGGTGAGATTAGCTTAATTTCAGGCTGGGATACTTTAGGCCTTGAATTATATGAGTTTTTCTCCTTTGTTTTTTTTCCTTCTCCTCACCACCAATATAAAGCAGGTGGGAGTTGTCAAATGCTGCACAGTCTTCTCTTACAGAGGTGTATTGCCCCTCAGTGGGGGAGATCAATCGACTTAGCAGAACAACTCACTGACTGACTCTCAAATTTTGTAAGAGCTCCTGCTTGAAGAGGAAGCAGCAGAAGCAGCAGCTGGGATTTAAAAGCCAAGTAAAGCAAAGCCAAAGTACGTGAGCGAGCCACGCTGGCAGAGGCATTGGTAGCAAGCATAATCTCAGTCTTATCAGCCATGTGGTTTTGTGTAGGAAGCAGTGGAAATTAAGCGTGACATCTCAGCTGAGTCAATGGGAATGTGATTTCATTATCCCCTAATAAGGCTGCAGACAGCATGTTAGCACATTTTTCTCTTAGTAGTTCACGTCACCACAGCTGCCATTTTCACTGTCTGGTCGCTTAATTCATGGGTGAACCTGACACCAGCAGCGGCTCTGCTCAGTGGATCCAAGTGTGGATAGGCAGAAGTGCTTTAAAAGTGCAATCCTCTGAACATCAGCAGCAATTCACTTGGGATTGCTTCTAAACAAAAGTAAAAAACAAACACTAGAGAAAAACATGAGCAAGGTGGATTGTTATATGCATCTCCAAAAAAAACAAAACACAAAAAAGTAAGTTCTAGTGATCTGAAACTGCTTTTCTAGATTCTACATCCAACTTTCCCACATCCTAGTTACAAGCCAATAGATGCCTTTCTCCATTGCATTACTACTGTGTTATCCTTTATGTCCGTGGAGAGTAAAGGAAAAATGGGTGCAAATTTACATGATCATCGCATGCTGCCTTGACACTGATATAAATCTGTAAGCAAGCACACAAAGTGCCAGGCCATGAACAATCATGATACACAGGCTTATGGCAGGAGTTCTTACGTTTGTTATTCAACGTATGTGTCTGGAAAAGTGCAGGGAAAAATCTGCATTATAATTGGAAATGTGTGAGGATGTTCTTTGGAAATATTCTCTGTAATTTTGGTTACTGATGAAATTTCTTTGCACAAGTACAAAAAAATGGGAATATTGATTTTTCCTTCTCACATAAATTAAACTCAAACCCTTAAGGTGACAGGATGTAGGGAGAATATATGGACAGGAACTTTGCTCTGTCTTTAAACAAGAAGCTAGTAGATGGAAATCTCTCCAGGGATTTATTATCCTGTTCAAAATCAACATTGCTTTACCATATAATTTATCTACCAGAATGAGATGGCTTTCTAACAGCAGTATGGTTTGAGTTAGTGTAAATCCTCTCAGTGTATGTAATATCACAGAGCTGCCATCTCACATGGTGGAGTGACCTGGATGACTTTGCCCACCACATTCGTTAATTCCCGATCCAGGCCTTTAGATACACACAGGAGACAGAGATCCATGAAGGCCTCATCAGCCTTTTCTACTTTTCTCCAACTAGGCTGTTGATACCTATGGAGAAGATACTGTCATGACCACACTTCTCAATAGCTTGGACTTCTATGTTTTGCCTGTTATTAATATTGATGGTTACGTTTACACTTGGACAAATGTAAGTACAGTCTTCATTCTCAAGAAGAGTATTGCTGGAAAAGCCAGCTGTTAGAACCTTCTCTTATTTTTGATCTAAGCTTCACCATTCTATTTCAGAACCGCATGTGGAGAAAGACACGCTCTAAAAATGCTGGTAGCACTTGCATTGGTGCAGATCTCAACAGGAATTTTGATGCTGGCTGGTGCAGTAAGTGACTCCTAACAATAGCTGCAAGCTATTATAACGGGGTGCAATAGCCAGGATGCTTAATTACAGATTTTTCCCTACCTGATGGTTGGTCCAGCTCAAGTTTGAGTGAAGACCACCAGTACGGTATTGTGAAGTAGATTGTGTTCAACTTTTGGGGCAGTTTTGGGCAAAAAACAGACTTTGGTTACTATTGTCATCCATATGGCTACTTCTATGAACATATATGTACATATACACTGGTACACATACATACACTGACACACATGCATACACACACACTTCCATGAGCTCAGAGCAGAAACTGAAAGAGTTTTCTTTCGTTTGGTTTCACTCAGTGGAGAAGGGTCTCTTCTGAGGGCTTTTCACTTGGTGTTTCCTGGAAGTGTCCTGGAAATGGGGGAGATATGCAAGCAGAGTATTGTCAAGTACTGAAGCAAATCAATATCCCAAATTACTTACATAATATAGGGCTTTACATCAATATTCATGTTCTTCCAGCTATGAACGCTCTACAGGGTATATTTATTTAATGCTATGTCATGTTGCCCAGTATCTTAATTATGCAATAAAATATTCTCTCCTCTGATATGGCACATGTGTTAGTAGGGTTTCCAAGGCTTATCTACAAAAGTGATGTAACATGACTCTCCTCACAACGAACTTTTCTCATTAAATACTCATTAAATTCACCTTTCTTCCCAGCTACTGGGGCCTCAAACCAACCCTGTGATGACACGTACTGTGGCTCCACAGCTGAGTCTGAAAAGGAGGCCAAGGCTTTGGCTGATTTTATTCGTGAACATCTTTCTACAATCAAGGCATACTTGACGATTCACTCCTACTCCCAGATGCTTCTGTTTCCTTATTCGTATTCTTACCAATTACCATCGAATTACGAGGAACTGGTAAGTCTCTGTCATTTTGACATAATGAAAAGAATAAGTAAAAATCATCACTTGCTATTTAGGTCCATTTAACTTCAAGCAGTTTCTTTAACATCTGGAAAGAATCTGTACTGCCAGTTTTTGAAAATATTTCAGTCTTTCATAGCAAGAACAAGGGAAACTACAATGGCTTCAAGATAGTTCAAGCACAGGATAAACTGAAGAGCCTTATTTAATTACCACATACACAATGAATTTGGCACAAGGTCAGGTTTGTCTTCCAGTCATGCTATACAGAAATCCACTATGCTGTGCAGCGCTGCGTCTCCCTCACTCAAGAGCTTGCTGTGTACGTAGCTTTAATACACTACATAGCTTGACTTACAGAGCATGTTCCTAACAGCTTGCTAAGGATCTCTGTCCACCACTTCCTACTGAACCTTAGTTCTTAGTGAAGTAAAATGGTGAAACTCCTATTGATACAGATTCAGGAAAGGAGGCAGTGTTTGTCAAAAGTATAATTATAATAATAAGACAGTTACATAAACAATAGGTAAAAAGTTTCAGTTCTGAGGCCTTTCTAAACAGACCTGGATTCAAATACACCTTTTATTTGGAAGAGGAGAGGGTGAATGTGTGGTTTTAACAGACAACACCTCTTTTTTGCATCCTAGAGAAAGGCCCCACCCTAACGCCAGTATCTTACTTAAAGATAAAAAGTGTGGAATTTTTTTTCTTTATCCTTAAGAACAGAGAGAGGGGTTAAAACTATTACATGTGTATAAAAGTTGTAAACTTTTTATAAGGCCAAATATCAACAATCATGAATAATAAAATTACTTCAGTTCTCTGGTATATTAGCAATTAGAAGCTGTCGTTAGGGGAAACAACATAGCAAAACAAACCAAACCAATCTTAATTCCCCCTCTTTCCTGCATGCTGCCAAAAGTCCAAGGCAACAACACTGTGTGTTGCTCTGCTGTGCAGGTCTGACAGATTTATGCATGCTCCAAAATAGATGTCATGATTCTGAAGCACAAATACAAACTGGGGCCAACAGTGAAGTTTCTTGTTACATACTTACAGCTTAAAAGACAGGATGAAATTAAGATGAAGATTTTGGTTTTTTAGTTTATATTCCAGAAATTTTTAACTATAATTATTCCGGGGAACTGTAGTAATTTCTTGTCTTCAGTTTTTACAAAAGCGTCACATTTCACACATTCCAACCTAACAAAATACAAAACCCTTGAAGCTGCTTTGTTGTTAAGATCACAAAGTTTCCATGTGTTAAAAATCTAATGACATTCTGCCCAATTTTTTTGAATCAAGTGCAAATGTGATGTAACATCACTAAAAGTACAGCATGTTTCTCACAGTATTAAATGGAATGTTTACATTGAGAGCTCATTATTAAAACAATCCTTAACAATAAGAAAGAACCTATGTGCTTTTCTAGGTTTTCAAATTATTTTCTTAAACTGAAATTTTATATTAGCAATGTTTTATTCTAACACACAGTAAAATTTAATGAATCACCCATACTAAGGTTCTACAATTTTTATCAATAAAACCTCTCCTTTCCTGCCATAGAGGACAATTCTGCTATTACATTTCAGCATAAAAAAGAAATAGCTCAGGAATGCAGGCTATATATTTCTCTTCAACCATTTGATTTCACTTTAAGTTAGTCTTTCCAACATCACTTTATCCTATATTTTAAATTGGGCACACTGATCCCAGAGGGACTTCCATTATTTTCCACTACAAAGCAATCACAAATCTCACAACCATGACAAGGTGACCTTAACGAGTGTTTTTCACATCTTAATTAAGGGAAAATATTTCCTCTATTGGCGATCCCAACAAAAAGACAGCAGGATCCCAGAGGTGTTCAACTTGTGCAGAATCTGATTTTTAACAAGGGAAGACTTCTTGCCAGAAATCCTTCTTTTGGAATATGAGATCAGAGTATCACTCAATCAACACTGCCTGTAGTTGGGATAATTAAACAGAAAGGGCCTAATTCACTCCAATGTCAGTGAGTTAAATAGAAAGACTGACTTCAACAGGCTCTGGGTCAGGTTCGAAAGTGCAGCTTTTCAGGTTACTTCAAATAACTAAAATACATTCATTTAAGATGTGACTAAAGAAAATTTAAGATTTTCTATCAACAATTGTACTTGCTTGAAATGAGACACCTACCAAAAAAGGTATTATTCTGTATGCCAGTTGTTGTGTTTCGTGTGTAGATGTTCTGCCTAGATTTAGAATTTAGAGAAATGCTGAAGAATAAGAATCTCAACTTTTAATGTAAATTGGGCAAATAAAAAGATCGTAAATAATTTTGCATATGAAGAAGCAAAATTTATAGTGCCATTATCTTATCTTAGATGTTATTTTTACTCTGACAGATCTAATAAATCAAAGGAAATATAGTTGCAATTTCTTATCTTTCAGTGAGCAGCTGAACATGTGCTTAAACAAAACCTCACATGTCTGCTTATCATTAACATTTTGTTCCATTGTATTTAATTAAAGGTAGCATAATACCATGGGGCTTATGCTGCATTCCAGTGTCTGAGATACAGAAGGGCACAAAAATTGAGTAATTTGAGATTGAAGACACTAAGTCTGCAGGAGAAAGATCTAGAGAATGCTTGTGCCTTCCTTCCCTGCAAGTGTGATGAACAGCTTGTCCTTGGGGCTCAAAGGACTTTTTCTGTTCACAGCCTCAAAAAAATCACCAGAAGGCATAAAACTCTTCTGGCTTTGGTTTCTCAGGTAGAACAGGACACTGACAATCCTAGACAACCTTATGCTCCATTGCATTGCTACAGCAGATCAGAACAACCTCCAAGTTATTGTAACTTACTTTGAGTTGGGGATTAAGAACTGTCCCTCAACATCCCCGGCCCTGGAGTGTAAAGCAGGACAGAGGTCATATACGTCCCTTCCTTCCCACAAGTTCCCACTCTTCTTCTTAGATGCAAGAGGAGCACTGGGGATCTCAACCCCACAGCTCACAAGGATTTCCCAAAACTTTTCTCCCTTTATTCAGCGTAGTTGTTTTGGTTTTTTCCCCCTCCTGGGGTGTTGCACAAAACTTTCCCTGTTATCCAAACAATACTTCAACAACAACAATAAAAACACCCAAGACAGGAAAATCTAGGTCAGGAATTTCTCAGAAGTTACACAATATTCTTGTGATGACACCCTGAAAGAAATATGTACTACTTTTGGTGAATCACATTTTGCCTGCGTATAATCCTCTTGACTCATTCTTTACGATACCCTGGAGTGTTACCCTGCACACAGAATACATGCTTGAATCCATCTCCCACAGAGAACAGAAGCATTAGCTTTTCACAATTAAAAACCATGCTTGGCAAGACCAGTATCTCTCCACACCCCAAAAAGATTCTTTTCATCTTTATTTTACTATTCACATTTTTGTCCTCTTGCAATAAAGAACTCTGTATTTAATCGTACTTTTCATAAACAGTTCAGCCTGTATTTTTTAATCAGTTTATATTTTAGCCTTAGCATCCTACTAGGTTACCCTATGCTTTCCTCGTTTTCAGCAGGCAAATCTAGTTTTAATAATACCTGTTTGTATTTGAATTGGCTCTGAACTATGATTTGATAGAGCAGAGGAATGTGCATTGAGCCCTTCCTTCCTTTCCAGGTTCAGTTCCATCTCTTAGGTAAACAAGAAACTCAGTGCCAAATACATGTCTGCAGCCAGCTCATCCTCACTGTCAGATTAATGTATTATCATAGTTTGGCACGCCGCAGAATACTATATTAATTTACAACCCAAGATGATTTTCTAGGCATGGGATTTCAGTTTGTATTACTTGAAGGCATACTGGCCACGTTAGTTATAGTTTAAGCCCACCGAAATTCACCTTCCGTGTTGGGTTGGTCTAGCATTTCTTTCCTACTTGAGTGCTTAAAATAGGATACAGTAGAAAGTGGAGATATGCCCAGAGTCTGTGCAGCCTGCAAGAAGAGTGAATTTCAAATATATTACATGACTTTGCGAATATCAGTCTGATTATTTAACCTGATGCCTGGAAGCAAAGTTTTTTCATTCCTGACTTGATTCCTGAATGTGTTTAAGATATATGGAGACCTGTGTGTAAGAATTTTTGAACAGCACAAATCCTATCACCTAAGAGACTCAAACAGACCAATGAGGAGTTGCAACCTATGCTGTTGTTGTATCTGTGCTGTTGCAAACCCCTGTGATAGTACTGCTTGTTACAAGTAAATATCAGTAAATTCAACCGGGAAGCACAACAAACAGGAAGGTGGGCAAAAAAGCAATATTTGGAATTGGCTTCACAGCTCCTCCACCGAGTTTGCCGTAGCAAATGTCCCGCAAAAGAACTGCTCTGTACTGACAGTCTCACAATTGTGAAAAGGAGGTTTTTAGTAGCAGCATCTTCCAGATGAAGCTCAGGTATGAATCTGGCTCAGACAAGAGTCTCCAACAGGTGTAGAGCACATTCATCCTAACTCAGTGCCACTGGAAACCCTCTCACCAGGGATCAATTTATTAAACACTCTGTGAGACTGCCACAGAGAAATAGGCTTGCAAATTAAAAAGAAGCATCATACTGAAGTCCTCCCCTTGGCTGGATTCCATGGACTCTTGGGGGAGATGCTTAACTATGAGCAACATCGGATTAGTGAACTAAATTACCATCAGCCATGGAAGTCTGTTTTTACTGGCAAAACGGGAAGCCTCAGAAGTTTAGCTTCATTTGGCTGAAGCTAACTTTGCAAATACTGCATTTTCAGACTTTCATTACAAAGAAACTTGAGGATCGCCTAAGTAGCACGTAAGTCTGAGGTGAAGCAAGAATACAGTTTTCAGCCTCGAGCAAATCAGTTTGCAGTCCAATGAGGGGAGAGAGCAAGAGGTCCAGTCAATCAGCGAGCAGGCTTCTCCAGATCCCTGTCAGACTGTGAGGGCAAAGGGAGTTGTCCACATGCAGCAGCTGCACACTCAACGTCCCTGAAGAGTTTCCAAATAGCCGCAATCTGCTGGCAAATCTAGCCTGATGACACAAGAGTAAAATGAGGGAGATGCTCCCCAAAAAATTACCTATTAACACACAGAAGATACTTAGCCTGATAATTTATCTTGTTAGTTCAAACCTCCAGATGTGGTGAGAAAGAGAGGCCAGTAAATTATATTTCATTAAAGGCTAATAACAAAAAACAGGTTTAAAGGTTGTGAATGTCTCACTGGCCCATGCACTCTGTGCACAAGATCAAGCAAAATATTAGTAATTGCTGTGTAAACACAGCTGGGTGATCCGCACAAGGAGTACTACCTGCTGCTGCAATGACCAGCTCTGCGAGTTCAGCTGCACGTCAGAAGCTGAAAAGTAATTTCTGCTCCCAGTTACGAGGTATTAATTTGGAGTTATTTCTAGGACTTCAGGGCGCCAGTTTTTTCTCTGCTACTATAACTCTCAGCAAAATTTTCCTTGCAAGAGAGGGATTCTTAACAGTAAAAAACCAAACCAAACAAACCCTAAACAAACCCCAGCAATTCAGTCAAGCCAGTTACACAAAGAGATCTAGAAAATCACTCAATGGCAAAGAGTATCCTCAAAGGTCAAAAAGATAGTGATGTTTCTCCTTGCAGCTGTATTCCAAATAACATACAGGCTTGAAAATCCAAACACTTTTCAAAAGCTACATATCACTTTCCCTTTTGGAAAATGCTAAGCATTGTTAGTATACCTTTGCATAACTCTCCATGTTATTTCCTTTTTATGGATGGTTTTGAGTAATTCTGCTATTTAAAAAAAAAAAAAAAAGAAAAAAATCCTCATACTTTGTATTTACATCAATACTCAGAAGTATCTACTTAATTTTTATTACTCCTGCTATTTTGTATGATATTATTATTATTAAGAGGAGGCTTTAGTTCCTGTAAAGTTGAAAATCTTTTTTTTTTTACCTTTAGGTTTTGGACTGTAAATCTATTAGGAAAGCAAATAGTAGAGAGTCACTTAGAGGAAAAAAATCAGATATCAGAACTTCTGATAAAGTTTCATTTCATGATGAAGTCATAAAAGCTCAGTCACGTTTTTAACTTAGAGAGGGTCATTTAAAATACGACCTCGATCTCCAACCTGGAGAACTTGAGGAAGTTGTTTATTTGGATTCCAGGCTCTTAACAGCTGGAAATCTCAACTGCTCTTTCTACAAATTTCTCTTTTTACAACTTCCTGGCCAATAATTAAAAAATCCCTCAGGTAAAAAGATTTCCTGACATACTTTTTCTGGTATCTCTTCTGGTATGATTTAAAGACATCATTTGGCAGCTGTTCGTCCCACAGAGCATCTCTGCAGTTCTATTGTTCCTACCAGTTTACTAAAGAGAGAGCAAATACTAGTTATCGATAGGTCCATACATAATACCAGACTATCTTTACAAATTTAATTTCTACTTTGCATATATTTGAAAAGAGGAAGAATCACTTTATATTTAAAAATTAGTCTACTATTGAGAGAACTGAGATTTGACTCACTCTCAGCTGCTGATTAAATGTACATATTATAAACAAAAGATGACTGGAGAAAAGATGGTATCACTAGCACGTTATAGTCTCCAACCCCTACAATTCCCTCAACGTGTGTTAAAAATTATTGTGGATTTTAGAAAAATCAGCTTGTTATTGGATTAAAAAATACCCAAACAAACAAAAAACCACCAACATTGGAGGGAGCTCAGCTACCCCAGTTGCTCTGAATCCAAGACTGTGAATGCAAAGCAACAACATTCTTCCTACAGTCGTTTGTGTTTGGGCAAGAGAGAGGCCAGAAGCCAAACCTCGCATTCAGGTACAGCCAATGTTATAGGTGGGAGGACAAGGTTCAAATACTCCTTCGTCTGCCTTGTTTAAATATTCTCAATGTGCTAAATGACCACAAATTCCTACAGCAAACTGCTATAATTCTAGGATGTTCAAAATCCAACATTTGGGAATGGGGAAACGCTTGTAATCCTGCAACAAATACTAGACTGCCAGTGCTAATGCAAACGTATTTTGATGCTGTTTTGTAGAAGCTGAGAAAGTTCTCTCACTTAACGACGATTTTCTAAACACATTGTCCATTATGCCCGAGTAATTCACAGGAAAACTTGAAGTATAAGGATGAACAGAGAATATTTTACAATATATCTTCCACTGGGAAGTAAGCCAAAATACAACCTACAGAGAAAGAAGGGCCTTTCCTTATTCTTATATTGAACATCTGCTTTCAAAAATCATTCATATTTATCATCTGTTAGTAATACTTTTCATGTTTTATTACCAACATGCTGCATAATGAAGAACTGGAAAAGCCACACGTTCCAAAGAAAAGTCTGTAATTTTCCTTAACGCAAGCATACAAAGCTTCACAGTACTATTGATGGGTCTGATCCAGCCCTCACTGAAATCAGTGGGAGCTGAATGAGTCCCTCTGTGCACAGGAAATGAATTGAAATTAATGAGACTACATATGGTTTCAAGGTAATTTATGCCTTTTTCTGGCTGTTAATATTTATAAGACCTTAATCTGTTTCCACTTGTATCAGTGTTCAGCTCCACTGACGAAGCTGACTCTGTACTGAATTTATAGCTGCATAAACAGAAGGAAAAGAAAGGCTATTGTATGTTCACAATTTACTGTACCAAGTTATTATTATTCTTGAAGATTCTCTTATCTCTAAATAAGATGACTTATTTAGTTTTAATCTCGTACAAGTTTCTTCTAAGTATAGAAAATCCTGTTACCTGTTGTTCCCTTGCCTATCCAAACTATACTGGACTACAGAGCAGGCTGTACATCAATAGAGCAATACACAGACTGGACTATGCTCCATTACAGCTTGGAGCACGAGCTCTTCACTGATAAGCTCTTTTCACAACAACAGGACAAGCTCTGCCTTATCAGCTACTGACTTCTAGTCATTCTGAGAGGTGAACAACAGTTTTCAGATAAAAAGTTCTCAAGCATGGCTCTTCAGTTTATTCAACAATGTATTTGCTTAGATTCACTCAGAAAACTTCTGAAAATCTGTATTTATCATCCTTCTTTTCGTACAGAATTCCATTGCTAAAGCTGCATCCAAACAGCTGGCCAGTTTATATAATACTGATTATTCGTGCGGCCCAGGAGCTACAACAATCTGTAAGTACTGGCCTAAATATGCTAGCCATCTATATTAAGTGATACCAAAACTATCAAATGCAGTTTTCTAGTGATTCTTTCCCTTCACAAGCAGTCCCCTTCTTTCTTCACATGCACCTGCTCAGAGGTATATATGGAATCTGTCATTTCTAAAACACAGGGTAATATATGCCTTAAGGATCGCAGGCAGTGTGTGACCCCTTGGAAGGTAAAGTGATGTGGTAAAGTGTTTAGGAATTCATGTGCATAGCATGAATTCCTAGATCATACGCAGCTTAGATTTAAACATAAAAATCCTCACCTGAGATTTTCTGCATTTCCAGTATCTCCAAGTCAGAGTGAAAAGATGATGTGAATCCTAAAGAATGACTTCAACCACTCTAGCAACATAGATAATTATTTACTTTGCATTACAGTCTGAGAAACGTACTAATAACAATTCCATTCTTGGGAACTCAGCTGTCAGGATATGGCCTTTGCAGTGTCAAAAGCTGAGCTGAGGTTGTCAAATCCAGATTTCTAGAACTTTAATATCTCCTGTATTTAAGATCTCTTAATTTACTTAAATATGGAAACTAATCTCTTTTCTCTATTTCTCTTTCCTTCAATAATTAAAAACACTTTAAAAACCAGTTTCTCACAATTTTTATAATATTCATGGAGATTTTTCCTTTAAAAATGGTTTAGTGATGCTTAGCAATTCTGGAGGTTCTTTCCTTAGCAAAAGAGACTGCCTTCATTGTACCAAAGTACTGAAATGGGAGGGTGCCGTTTGTCCAGAAGAAAAAGATGGAGCTGATATCCCAGATCGGCAGTTCCTTCAGATCTGTATGAACCTCAAAAAGTTATCCAGTGAAAGGGTGTTTGCTTCTATCATCAGATAGAACCCCTGCAAGCGTGCTGTTCTCCTGTTCCTTAGACATTCCTCCTATGGGCTCCCCACAACATTGACAAGGAGGGAGCAGTTTAGCTCATTTACATTTGCTTGCGTGCATCAGCTGGAACGAAGCTCACAAATGGCCTACAATCACAGAAGTTTTCCCAGGAGCAGCAGAAATCAATGAATTCACTCAATATGCCTTTTTATCTGTCCTTTCTGCATTTCTGGCTACGTGACTTGACTCCAAGTATATCACACTTCAATGCATAGCCACACTTTTCCAGTTAAGCTTTATTTTACTTCTTTATCAACAGATCCCGCTGCAGGGGGCTCTGATGACTGGGCTTACGACCAAGGCATCAAGTACTCTTTCACTTTTGAGCTCCGAGACACTGGTAGATATGGTTTTCTTCTCCCTGAATCTCAAATACAGCCAACTTGTGAAGAGACTCTACTTGCTGTTAAACATATTGCCAATTATGTCCTTGAGCACTTGTATTAGAACAGAGTTCGAAAAAAACTATTAAAGAAGGTTTTATTCAAAGATGCCTTGCTTTTTATTCTTCCCTAACAATAGGTTTTTATTTCTCTTCACTTAATGTTCTTACTCATATTCTTAGTCCATCATAGGTTAATAAAACTACAAGTTTGTCAAGAGAAATTGTATCTTTTTTTAAGACAACTGATATAGAATCATAGAGTTGTTTGGGTTGGAAGTGATCTTGAAAGGCCATCTAGCCCAACCCTCCTGCAATGAGCAGGGACATCTTCAGCTAGACCAGGTTGCTCAGAGCCCCATTCAACCTGACTTTGAATGTTTCCAGGGATGGGGCCTTCACCTCCTCCCTGGACAACCTGTTCCAGTGTGTCACCATGCTGACTGTAAAAAAATTCTTTCTTGTATATAATCTGAATCTACCCTCTTTCAGTTTAAAACTATTACCCCTTGTCCTATCGCAACAGGCCCTGCTAAAAAGTCTGTCCCCTTCTTTCTTACAAGCCCCCTTTAAGTATTGAAAAGCCGTAATAAGGTCCCCCCAGAGCCTTCCCTTCTCCAGGCTGAACAGCCCCAACTCTCTCAGCCTTTCCTCACAGGAGAGGTGTTCCAGCCCTCTGATCATTGTTGTGGCCTCCGCTGACTCCGCTCCAACAGGTCCATGTCTTTCCTCTGCTGAGGGCTCCAGAGCTGGACGCAGGACTCCAGGTGACGTCTCACCAGAGCACAGGCAGGGTGTGGTCAGGGGGTCTAAAAAGAAGGAGCACTAAGAAGCTTAATCAACCTAAGGTAAAGGTTGCCTTAATGATTACAATTATCTTCATTTAATCCAGGGCAAATGGGCAGAGCACTAGAATTTACACAGCCTGAATGCTAAGCAGAATGAAAACAGCTAGATGATTTATATGAATGCACTTTCATCCAACAATTCATTGTCTTAATGGCAATAGTAGCAAGCAAAAGTTCAGATCACACACTTCTAAAATGACGTTAGCTATGATATGATCTTGTGAATTTTCTCAAAACCCCTAAAACTAGTTTGGATCTGAGGTCACTGCTAGTCCGATCTGAACTTGGTGCTGAAGATTAAAATTAATATTAAAGATCAAGACTTGATACAAATTGTGCTATAAACTATCCTGCATTTAAGGCTCTCACACTCACTACAGTAGTGTTTCTCAATCTATTCTCAGCATCCTGGTACTTCCTGGGGCCCCACATGTTCCTACTGTCAAGAGCGGAAGGATCGTAAATAGCCATAAAGACTAGGACTGGAGATAGATGATTAACTGCTTCTTTCATGGGAAGCTGTAAAGACTTTTCCCCTCCCGATCAATTTTCTGTACAGGTAATGTGGGTCTGATCAGGTCAGAGTGAGGGGGAGTGATAAATAGCCACTCTGGGCAGCTTTCTCGTGCAGCCGCAGAAAATGCGTTTGGCATTTACTAATGCTGTTTAGAGCTTGGTTAATATGAGACACACTCTGCAGAAAGATGGAGAAAAACCTTATGTCAACATGGAACCTAGCTGATCTCCCTGCCATCGCTGGAAGCTCTGAACAGAGACTTCCACTGTCCGTTGATGCTCCTGATATTAGCACTATTTCTGGCAGGTTCCTAGCCGATGCATGCAAAACAGCCCATGAAATAGATCTTACTGAGAAAATGGTTCTCCCAATAAAATCACCAAATTCAGACTGGTCAAAAACTAAGTGTTCTCCTTTTTTGCCTCTTCTCTGTGGAGGGAAACAGAAAGACAAGGTTCAATTTAAAATGACACTTTCATTTACACATATAAGAAAAAAGAAGGAACGCATCCACTAGCCCTCTCCAATTAACCCAGCAGCACTCAGATTAAACCAGTCCTCACACAGGACTGGTCCATCTGTTTCTGATCACTGGTGAAACTGAACCTATGTGTGAAAGTAGCACATACCCGTGAAAAAACATGTCATTCTGTTTTGCAACAGAAGTGGGGGCAAGGATAATCAGCATTACTAAAAACAGCACAGGATGCAAGCAGAACATACCAGCCAGAGCCAAACATGTCACAAGGGGCAGAAAAATAAATTACTCAGAATATAAAATATTTTGGCTAATTTTAACCAAGTATTAACAACCACCCAGGGACTATCCTGACTATAACTGTATTATTTGGGAAGATATCACAGGCGTTACACCGACTGAAAGGTGAATTGTTGGTATGCAGCACCATTCATTACTACGAAGGCTCTTTGTAGCGCTGCAGGCAACCAAACAAATACAGTGGAGGGGTTGGTCACGGCACCCAGCAGCTCCAGCAGTGTTAGGGTTACCCCAGTTAACCTCAAACTGTGACTCCGAGGCAGGAGATGGCACACATTTGGTAGCTCTGACATTCACAAAGTCAAATCACAGCAAGGTAGCGATAAGCAGCTTTTCTGTGCCTTCTCCACAGAAGGTGCTCACTAGCACCTCTGGTCAAATTACACAGATGCAGAGAAGAGCAGCAATTAAACGTGATATATCATCCATGGAGCATGCAACATAAACCAAAGATTATATGGGAGAAATTTAAGCAGGAAAGGACATTCTGCTAGCAGGCAAGTTGTTACGGCAGAGACAGTGAAAGAAAACACGGAGAGGAAGCAAAGGTTAGGCAACAAGTCACGATGCTTGAAATTTCAGCACTGCTTTCAAAAAACAGAAAATCCACATGCAAAACCAATTGATAATATATTTTCAAAGATGCCATTGTAGTTATTTAGAACCAGTTCCTCAGTTACAAAATAGTTCTTCCCGAGAACCAGTAGAGACACAAAAAAACAAACATACATATATGGATGACGGAGGTACATTTTGACATTTGTAAAAGGTGAACTTTTTCAATAACCCTAAAGAAAAATTACCGGTCTTCTCCACACTGAATCTTCTTCTTGCTTTCTAAAACCAAATAAATCCATAAATCCCGCTTTGAGCAGGCAGTTGAATTGGATGGTCTCAATTGGTCCCATCCAACCTCAACTACTTTGTGATCCTGTGCGATTAATCTCTGCCTGATGCAGGTCAGCCAAGGACTGAGATGAACAACTGTAGCTTTTCCTATTTAATTTATATTGTTCCTTAATTAGATATATAGAAAAGGATCATTCTGTTTTCTTGGTTAAGAATCACACAAAAAAACTGCCATCGTTCTCATTTAAGCTACTGTTTAGCTAAATACATTCAAACAGTCAATTCACTTCAATGCTACAAAACTCAAAAGGAATTAAGAAGCTATTAAGTGTTTAAAAGACAGTGTACTCTCTGCTTACCAAGTCTCACAGGAGTGATATTGAAGATACCAGATCACTCACAGAGGAGACGTCCCTTCAGTACAAATCACAGTGACAAAGGCCTGACAAAGGCAGCACTAGACACGTTCTTAATTATTTCTCATATGAAGCAGGTAACGCACACACAAAAATGAATGAAGTACAGTAAGTCCCAAACAGTTGTATGAGTTAAACACATGATTCTGGGGAAGATATTTTCAAGTTTGCTCAAAGTTCTCAAGCAGCTGCTGACACACAGTGGTAATTCAGAGAAGGAAGCTCTTGTTCTTAATGATCCAGACTCAAATGCCTCAAAATCTGTGCTAGAAATTAAACCTATGCTTCCAATGCAGCCTGTTCTGAGCTCTGCTTCGCTGACATATGGCCTCAGTACGCTTCCTGTCACTTTGGATTTTTCCAGGGACAGATGTGGGCTGTGCAGTGAAGCAGGTTGCCTCTGTGCTCCCCACTGCACTCGCTACAGCTGCGCTACAGCTGTGTACGCAGTCTTTTACCACAAGAGGAGAGGAAACAGCCAAACGCTGCTTCCGAGAATGGGATTGCATCCCTGTCCTTTACAGGAAGGACGCTAGGCTACTTGCAGTAAACTTTGCAACCACAGAAAATAGGGAATTTGCTATAAATAAATGAATATGTACAGCTTAGCCAAGAAATAGGGAAACATTGTAAAACATCTAAAACTTATTTTTCAAATCTTTTTAAGCAAAGTACCCCAGTTTCTTGGCAAACACTGAAGTGTTTCCTTTCTGCATTTAACAGAAGACCAAAGATGCTTAACTCTGGATGTCTTCAAGGAAAGTATGAATCACATTGCTTTATCATAGAATCAACCCCCAATTTCCTGGCTTCATGGGGAAAAATCAAATATTCATGTTTCTCTTTAATACATCGATAAATTAAGCCATAAGAACCAGCATAAAGACTGTAATGAAAAGAAAAAAGGGAAACAGTTCAGGAGTAATGGCTGTCAGATCCCTGAGGATCGCTGTGCTGCTGCTGACACCAGTGAGTGAGGCCACAGAGAACAGCTCAATGTCACAACGATCAACCGGCTCGTGTCCAGAAGTGATACAGCTCAGAGCATCTCTGTTCCTACCAGAGTTAGTCCATAACCTAATAAATCTGCTATGAAAATCAAGAGATGCTAGTGAACTTTAAAAATGACAAACAGACCTCAAAAGACAAATATGCTGCGATGCAGCACTGACATCATTGTTGACACGTATGTTGTATCATCACTCATCAGCATGGTCCCTTTTCTGTCATTGCAAGTGTGCAAAATTCTCAGATTATGAAACTGTAAATACAGTAGTAGATGCAAAAAGCCTGATTTTCACCGATATTTTCATGTCCCTGTTCATAGGATGTGCGTGCATAAAGATAATAACCTCACATACATAGTTTTAGAAGTTCAAGCATTAAACACACTTAGCAGAACTATTCTAATGTTGAGGTTTAGAGTACGTAGTATAAAACCTGAGATCCTTTTCTCTTAAAAAAATACCCCTCGCATATGACAGCAGATCCTCTTTTCACCCAATCTCTTCCTAGGTCTCTGCACAGTACTGCCACCAAGGTCTAAATTTACTCTTCATCCACCCTGGAGTAAGTGAAAGCAAAAGCAGGTCCTCCTTGTGGTATATTCAACTAATGAGTTCAGGCCTATTGAAATCAACACTTATTTTACTCAGAA